TCGCTAAATTTGTGGAATTTTACAATATAAAATTAATTTGTTTTCATTTAAGCAAGTTTTCTTTTATCTAATAATAAGCCGCTCATTGAAATTTGGCCGGTGTAGAACTTTGCTCAACGTTCGATGTATATGCTTCGCCTCAGATATTTTCGTGTTTTCGCGCCTAATTCGAGTCGCTGCTTTGACTTCAAACCAGCTTCGTTGACGTCAACGGAGCTACACCTTTTTACATTGCTGGTATGTCATACCGTAAAGGGCTAGGATATCGAACATGTGTATTTCAAATGTGAAGTGCAGTTGATGTCAATTCTGCCGACTGCGAAAAGAAATTCTGCTAGAATTTTTCGCGCCAAGCTGTTTTCTGCATTTTTTATTTGCCACAAAAAATCTGTTGTGTGTGTGCGAAAATCTAAAATGACAGAAATGATATTCTTTAAATAAAAAAATAATTTTTTACTAAAAATTGAAATTAATAAGATTGTATGCTATATGTACTACTATACCGAGGGTCATTGTACAAAGAAACAGCAAGTGTTGGGTTGAATTTAGTTAAATTGTTAATAATTATGATGAAATTTTTTTAAGGCGGGGTTTGTTTTCGTTTAATACCCAAAAAAAGTGTTTATCGAAATCTATATTTGGCATATTTGTGAGATCTAGAAGATTAAAAAATGTAAGTAATGGTGTTAATAAATTATTTATTTGTCTATAAAGAACGTCTTTCTTTTCAAGAAAGAGGAGGCATCATGATGGTCTCCTGAAAGAATGCCCACATATATACCTCCCTAGTCAATAGAGCGCGATGTCTGTCAGGTGTGCCTTTCAGTGAAGCTCTTGTTGTCCCCAAACACTATGGTGGCCGAATATTTACAAGAAACAATTGTTAAGCCGCCTTTTATACAAATTTATAGCTTTGTAGAGAATGTCTTCACGGACCTAGAGGATATAACTTGGCTAGGTATGTAGATGTTGTTTGGCCAAATATTGGTACTAACCATTGTGGACTTTATGTCGACTTTAGGTCCCTTATAGTTGTCACACTATACCAAACAAGTTTAATTCCAGTCAAACATTCAAATTTCAAGTGTTGAAATACACTTTAATTCAATAGCATTCTCCAGTGAAAACGAAACTTGAATTCAAGTCGAACATTACAATGTTTTTACAGTATAATTCAATGCACGAAATCTATATACATAATACATATATAAAATTCTAATGTTACTGACTGACTGACTGACTAATTCATCATCGTAGAGCCTAAACGGTTTATGCTCTTTGAGCTGAAATTTGGGCAGGATGTTAGTCTCCCACCAAATGTATCTAATAAGACGGGATTTTTGGAAATTCGATTTTTTTGGGGGTTAAAAAAGGGTAAAAACGTAAATTCGGTAACCTCAAATCTCCTAAACTAGAAAAGTTATAAAAACAGTTAAAGCTTATCGTCGTTCATTTAAAAAAAAGCGGACAGGTGTCCGGTAATTTTTTCAAATTCGGCTCCTTTGGGGAATAAACGGGTAAAAACTGTAATTTGGTAGTTCTTTTGCACCCCATGTATCTTTTAAACCAGAGAACATTAAAAAATATTTTTGAATCCTTCATAACTTGACGAACAAATAAAAATATGAATTTAGTACTTTTTGGATATTCGGGCGTTTAAGGGGTGAAAATTTTACCTATTTTTGGTACTTTTTTATGAAACATCATTTTTAGTTCATTAACTTATACATATGAATACATAATAACGGGCTCCCAATACGATGTTGCAACTTTTTGGAACAGAATTTTTATTTCGTTAATGGGGAGGAAAAAAGTACCAAAAGGGGTAAAAACGGGAAATTTGATTTTATTCAAGAAACACTAAATAAGTTAATGGGGTGTTATTTGGAACACCGGTACCAAGTTATATTTTTTGGTACTTTTTCATTCTCCAACTGGTACTTTTTGAGTTTTCTATGATATTGAAATCGAAACATGAAATTAATAATTAAGGGACTTTTCGGAACTTTTTGGTTCTACAAAGGTACTTTTTGAATTCTATAAAATTTAACCTAGAAACATGAAATTAAGCAAGTAGAGTCCGGAGTAAATGAGAATCTATAAAATGGGACTTATTGGTACTTTATCGTACTTCGACTGGTACTTTTTTGACTTAGAACTTAGAAACATGTAATTAAGCACTTGAGAATCTATAAATATGGACTTTTTGGTACTTTTTCGTTCTTCAAAAGGAACTTTTTGAATTTTCTATAATAGAAACATGAAAGCGTGTAGAGCCCCGATTAAGTGAGAACCTGGTTCTTCAAAAGGTACATTTTAAGTTTTTGTATAATAATGAACCTAGAAACGTGAAATTAAGCGTGTAGAACCCCGATTAAGTGAGGTCCTATAAAAGGGGACCCCGGTACTTTTTCGTTCTTCAAAAGGTACTTTTTGAGTTTTCTATTAAATTGAACATAGAAACATGAAATTATGCACGTAGAGCCCGGAGTAAATGAGAATCTATAAAATGGCACTTTTTGGTACTTTTTCGTTCTTTGACTGGTACTTTTTGAGCTTGCTACAAAATTTGAACCTCGAAACATGAAATTAAGCACTTAGAGCCTGGAGTAAATGAGAATCTTTAAAAGGGGAACTTTATCGTACTTCGACTGGTACTTTTTGAGTTTTACATAAAATTAAACATAGAAACATAAAAATAAATATGTAGAGCCCGGAGTAATCTATAAAAAGGGACTTTTTAGTACTTTTTCGTTCATCGACTGGTACTTTTTGAATTTTTTATAATATTGAACCTAGAAACATGAAATTAAGAATGTACAGCCCGGATTAAGTGATAACATATAAAAGGGGACTTTTTGGTACTTTTTCGTTCTTCGACTGGTACTTTTTGAATTTTTTATAATATTGAACCTATAGACATGAAATTAAACCTGTTCTTCAACTGGTACTATTTGAATTTTCTATTATAATGAGCCTAAAAACATAAAACTAAGCAATCAGGGACTTGAGTGAATGAAAATTTAAACTGGAGTATTTCTAGTAATTTTTCGTTCTTTAACTGGTATTTTTTGAATTTTCTAAAATATTGAATATATAAACATAAAATTAAACACGCAGTATCCTAATTGAACGAAAATTTATCTCTTACAGAAAATCAGTTTATAGCTAATACATAATTCCAAAAGTTATCATTATGATAGATTTATGGTAGAATTAAAAAAAAAAATACTTTAAATTATAGAGAACTTTGTCCATAATTGACCCAATTCCACATTTAAGTCTCTAATCCGAAAATCACGGTGACGTTCTTATTAATCTAATGATCAAAGTCCATAAATATATGTATATGACCACTTCCGAAATTTGCTTTTTTACGACAAATGATTTGCCGAATATAACACTTACTCCTTACTTATTTTAATCATAAAGAAATTACCGCTAAAACAGGAATAGTCTGCTTTTAGAGTTGCGAGTTTTCATACGCTCTAATAATGTTTTCAAAGTGAAACTTTTGCAATATTTTTCAATCTCTTTGTGATCCCTTTAAATGATGTTGTTCTGGAAGAACTTTAACATCCATGTAAACATTTTGGGTAATAAATTGGGGGACTACCAATGAGGGGAGCGGAACCTCCCATATGAATTAAATACAAAAATTCGTTTATCTGGGAAACTAATAGAACTAAATTCTTCAAATTTTGCACGAAGAACTTTAATAATCATTTGAACATTTTGGAGAAAAAAGGGCGGACATTCATCTGGGGGGCTTGGAGCTCCCATATGAATTAAATAAAAAATTCGTATATCTGAGAAACTATTAGAGCTAGAATCTTCAAATTTTACTGAAGAACATTTAGAGAAATTGCAATAATTTGCGTGGAATCTCCCATATGTAACAAATTGTATATCTGGAAAACCATTGTAGTTAGAATCATCAAAATCGTTAACTGGATTTCTTATTTATATTGCTTTTAGGGTAGCACAGCACACTGGGTATAGCTAGTAAATAAACAAATAAAATATCTTTGTTTTTACGTAAAACTTGGAGAAAGGATTTGTTTTTAATTTTTAAGAATTTTTTATTCATCCCTGCATAATTTCTCACACAATTTTTGAGCTTGATCTGTTTTGTTGTTATAAACAATATATTTGTTTCCAAAATCCCACTTTCTGATCTCTCGGATTCCGTTTTTATTTAAAATCGTTGAAAATTTAAAAACTAAACGTACAAAATTTCGACTTTTTTCATTTAGTTAAAAGTCGACTTTTTTCATTTAATTAAAAGTCGACTTTTAGACTTTTCGACTATAATTATTTTATAAATAGTCGACTTTTCGATTTTTTCGACTTTTTGACTATTTTCGACTTTTTTCCGACTATTTTTTGACTTTTTTCGAGTTTTTCCGACTATTTTAGAGTTTTTGACTTTTTTCCACTTTTTTAAAATTTTCGACTATTTTTGACTTGTTTCTACAATTTTCGAGTTTTCGCCTTTTTCCGACTTTTCGACTTTTTCCGACTTTTTTCGACTTTTCACGACTTTTCGACTTTTTTCGACTTTCTTCGACATTTTTCGACTTTATTCGACTTATCGACCTTTTTCGACTTTTCGACTTTCAGACTTTTCGACATTTATTAACAAAGTCGACTTTTCGACTTTTTTCACAGACGATAGTCGAGTCGAGTTGACTTCGACTTTTTTCGACAAAAAGTCGATTGTTCGAAAGTCGATTTATAGAACCCTAATCGAAAGTTTAAATTTTTAGAACGAAGTTTTTGGCCATAACTTTGATACTATGGTGGAGTTAATAAAATTGTACCCCTACTATGAATGTATTTAAAAAGATATTAAATATATTGACAAATGTTTAATAAAATGCCTATGATTCAATTTGAGGTTTTAATTGTATTAATATATAATTATAATTATTTTGCCATAAATTTCTTATAAAAGCTTACAAATTTTTAAAATGTATTATCAGTTTCTTTGCAATTGCCAATAAATAAACATTAAGTGGAAATAACGTAAATAAAGTAATTCAAATTACGATGAAGTTATATTTGGGATTTATTACTACAATGACCATTTGCTGTCAAATGGCAATGGCAGGACGTTTTAATATTACTTGTTATTATGATACCGCTAGTATTAAAAGAGGAGGTAAGATGATAAACTAAAAGTTGACAGAATTGGAACTCAATTACTACTGAACTAGAACCGAACTACCGAACTAGAACTGAACTAGAACTGAACTAGAACTGAACTAGAACTGAACTAGAACTGAACTAGAACTGAACTAGAACTGAACTAGAACTGAACTAGAACTGAACTAGAACTGAACTAGAACTGAACTAGAACTGAACTAGAACTGAACTAGAACTGAACTAGAACTGAACTAGAACTGAACTAGAACTGAACTAGAACTGAACTAGAACTGAACTAGAACTGAACTAGAACTACTAGAACTGAACTAGAACTGAACTAGAACTGAACTAGAACTGAACTAGAACTGAACTAGAACTAAACTAGAACTGAACTAGAACTGAACTAGAACTGAAACTAGAACTGAACTAGAACTGAACTAGAACTGAACTAGAACTGAACTAGAACTGAACTAGAACTGAACTAGAACTGAACTAGAACTGAACTAGAACTGAACTAGAACTGAACTAGAACTGAACTAGAACTGAACTAGAACTGAACTAGAACTGAACTAGAACTGAACTAGAACTGAACTAGAACTGAACTAGAACTGAACTAGAACTGAACTAGAACTGAACTAGAACTGAACTAGAACTGAACTAGAACTGAACTAGAACTGAACTAGAACTGAACTAGAACTGAACTAGAACTGAACTAGAACTGAACTAGAACTGAACTAGAACTGAACTAGAACTGAACTAGAACTGAACTAGAACTGAACAGAACTGAACAAGAACTGAACTAGAACTGAACTAGAACTAGAACTGAACTAGAACTGAACTAGAACTGAACTAAACTGAACTAGAACTGAACTAGAACTGAACTAGAACTGAACTAGAACTGAACTAGAACTGAACTAGAACTGAACTAGAACTGAACTAGAACTGAACTAGAACTGAACTAGAACTGAACTAGAACTGAACTAGAACTGAACTAGAAACTGAACTAGAACTAAACTAACTGAACTAGAACTAAACTAGAACTGAACTAGAACTGAACTAGAACTGAACTAAAACTGAACTAGAACTGAACTAGAACTGAACTAGAACTGAACTAGAACTGAACTAGAACTGAACTAGAACTGAACTAGAACTGAACTAGAACTGAACTAAACTGAACTAGAACTGAACTAGAACTGAACTAGAACTGAACTAGAACTGAACTAGAACGAACTAGAACTGAACTAGAACTGAACTAGAACTGAACTAGAACTGAACTAGAACTGAACTAGAACTGAACTAGAACTGAACTGAACTTACTAGAACTGAACTAGAACTTAACTAGAACTTAACTAGAAGAACTGAACTGAACTAGAACTGAACTAGAACTGAACTAGAACTGAACCAGAACTGAACTAGAACTGAACTAGAACTGAACTAACTGAACTAGAACTGAACTAGAACTGAACTAGAACTGAACTAGAACTGAACTGAACTGAACTAGAACTGAACTAGAACTGAACTAGAACTGAACTAGAACTGAACTAGAACTGAACTAGAACTGAACTAGAACTGAACTAGAACTGAACTAGAACTGAACTAGAACTGAACTAGAACTGAACTAGAACTGAACTAGAACTGAACTAGAACTGAACTAGAACTGAACTAGAACTGAACTAGAACTGAACTAGAACTGAACTAGAACTGAACTAGAACTGAACTAGAACTGAACTAGAACTGAACTAGAACTGAACTAGAACTGAACTAGAACTGAACTAGAACTGAACTAGAACTGAACTAGAACTGAACTAGAACTGAACTAGAACTGAACTAGAACTGAACTAGAACTGAACTAGAACTGAACTAGAACTGATCTAGAACTGAACTAGAACTGAACTAGAACTGAACTAGAACTGAACTAGAACTAGAACTGAACTAGAACTGAACTAGAACTGAACTAGAGCTGAACTAGAACTGAACTAGAACTGAACTAGAACTGAACTAGAACTGAACTAGAACTGAACTAGAACTGAACTAGAACTGAACTAGAACTGAACTAGAACTGAACTAGAACTGAACTAGAACTGAACTAGAACTGAACTAGAACTGAACTAGAACTGAACTAGAACTGAACTAGAACTGAACTAGAACTGAACTAGAACTGAACTAGAACTGAACTAACTGAACTAGAACTGAACTAGAACGAACAAATGAATGAATTTCCAACACTTTACAAACGTTTTTAGTAAATCTATTTTTAATAACACATTCAAATTTCCAATTCTAGGATTTGCCAACTATACCGAAACTGATTTAAAATCATCTTTCGAATATTGCACCCACGTAGTTTATGGTTATGTTGGCTTGAAACCCGATTCATTTGCCATCGAAACCCTGCTGCCGGAGCAAAATTTAATATTTTCTCAAGTCAAAAAATTGAAACAAAAAAATCGTAATATTACATTTTTAGTAAGTTTAGGTGGTGGTAAGGATTTGAGTAATCGTGAAAAATATATGAAACTTCTGGAGGCGTCCCTTCAAAAACAAAGCAAATTCATAGAATCAGTAAAAAGTTTTGTGCGTCAATATAATTTTGATGGTTTAGATTTGGCCTATCAATTTCCAAACCATAAGAAACATAAATCAACAGTTAATAAAATGTTTGATCAAGCCAAAAAAGTATTATCGAAACATAAAATGGCTAAACCACTTAAAAAACATATTGTTAATGTAAATGTGCATAAGAAGAGGTTCACGGAATTGGCAAATAAACTTAAGAACACCTTAAAACGAGATAATCTTATGTTGACCTTGACTGTTTTGCCACATGTCAATGCCAGTAGTAAGTTATACGGAATATTAAAGATCCAGGGTTTGTGTTTAATTTAATTATATCTCTATTTTTTAGAATACCTAAATATACGCTCTGTTATGGAAGATTTTGATATGGTCAATTTGGGCACCTTTGATTACTCTACGCCCGAATATACTCCCAATGATGCCGACTACTTGGCTCCCCTAAACTCGCTTTATAACAAACAAATCTCACGCCATCGTAACTCCAATGTCGAACAAGATGTACGCCTATGGCTTTCTCAACATATACAATCTAGAAAACTTAATATTGGCATTGCTACCTATGGCCGTGCATGGAAATTGCCAAAGCCCTTGAAATCTAATGTTATGCCCATTAAATCAGCACTTGATGGCCCTGCTTCGGGTGGTGAATTAACACGTACGCCTGGCTTATTAAGTTGGCCGGAAATTTGTTTAAAAGTTCCCAAAATGTCGAAAACTATGAATAAGAATTATGGCAATTTTGCCTTCCGTACTCCTAATGTTAAAGGTCAAGAGGGTTTCTTAATAACATATGAAGATCGCGATAGTCTTGGAGCAAAAGCTGAATTTGTCAAGAGAAATTCTTTGGGTGGTATAGCTGTATTCGACTTGTCATTAGATGATTTCCGCGGTAAATGTAAGGAAGGTCAATATCCAGCTCTGAAAGCAATTAAATATAAATTGATTTAATTGTGTCAAGAGTTTTTAAGCTATGTACTAAAAAAGATCCAGTAGATTTAAAAATATTGTAGTTTAAGAATTTTCAATAAATAATATTTTAAAATATCATATTATTAAAAGTTTCGAATTTCAAATCGGACAGAAATAGATGATATTTACTATGTTCTTTTTTGTTTCGACCAAAATTCTTCCCTTTCATTTAAGATTAATTATATTAACTGCACTTACTTCAGTTTGACCATGCTAGAGTATTAGAAAAGTCCTTTTCTGAGTTACTTAAAGAAAGACTAACCTTAAACAGAATTACATATGTTTGTATTAGATAAAACTACATTATTACTTGTATAATCGTTCGATTTGGTTTCTGATCACGTATTAAGTTCAAGTGTTAAATGCACCACATTCTCCTTAAATGAATTTACATTTCTAGTACATTGGAGGGGGGCTAATGGTACCAAAATCTTGCGGAGTTTATGTACCCCCTAGGGAGACGAATTTAATATTAGTTCTTTATGCGCTTGCCCTAATTACCCAGACTTGGTATTACCCAGCCAGCAAGCGGAACTAGTCTATAGTATATACTATAGTTTAGTCTATAGTCTAGTCTATAGTCTAGTCTATAGTCTAGTCTATAGTCTAGTCTATGGTCTAGTCTATAGTCTAGTCTATAGTCTAGTCTATAGTCTAGTCTATAGTCTAGCCTATGGTCTAGCTATAGTCTAGTCTATAGTCTAGTCTATAGTCTAGTCTATAGTCTAGTCTATAGTCTAGTCTATAGTCTAGTCTATAGTCTAGTCTATAGTCTAGTCTATAGTCTAGTCTATAGTCTAGTCTATAGTCTAGTCTATAGTCTAGCTATTAGTCTAGTCTATAGTCTAGTCTATAGTCTAGTCTATAGTCTAGTAGTCTATAGTCTAGTCTATAGTCTAGTCTATAGTTCTAGTCTATAGTCTAGTCTATAGTCTAGTCTATAGTCTAGTCTATAGTCTAGTCTAATAGTCTAGTCTATAGTCTAGTCTATAGTCTAGTCTATAGTCTAGTCTATAGTCTAGTCTAGTCTATAGTCTAGTCTATAGTCTAGTCTAGTCTATCTATGTCTAGTCTATTAGTCTAGTCTATAGTCTAGTCTATAGTCTAGTCTATAGTCTAGTCTATAGTCTAGTCTATAGTTGTCTAGTCTATAGTCTAGTCTATAGTCTAGTCTATAGTCTAGTCTATAGTCTAGTCTATAGTCTAGTCTATAGTCTAGTCTATAGTCTAGTCTATAGTCTAGTCTAGTATCTATAGTCTAGTCTATAGTCTAGTCTATAGTCTAGTCTATAGTCTAGTCTATAGTCTAGTCTATAGTCTAGTCTATAGTCTAGTCTATAGTCTATCTATGTAGTCTATAGTCTAGTCTATAGTCTAGTCTATAGTCTAGTCTATAGTCTAGTCTATAGTCTAGTCTATAGTCTAGTCTATAGTCTAGTCTATAGTCTAGTCTATAGTCTAGTCTATAGTCTAGTCTATAGTCTAGTCTATAGTCTCTATAGTCTAGTCTATAGTCTAGTCTATAGTCTAGTCTATAGTCTAGTCTATAGTCTAGTCTATAGTCTAGTCTATAGTCTAGTCTATAGTCTAGTCTATAGTCTAGTCTATAGTCTAGTCTATAGTCTAGTCTATAGTCTAGTCTATAGTCTAGTTATAGTCTAGTCTATAGTCTAGTCTATAGTCTAGTCTATAGTCTAGTCTATAGTCTAGTCTATAGTCTAGTCTATAGTCTTAGTCTATAGTCTGAGTCTATAGGTCTAGTCTATAGTGCTAGGTCTATCGTCTAGTCTAGTCTATAGTCTAGTCTATAGGCTAGTCTATGTCTAGCCTATAGTCTTATCTATAGTCTAGTCTATAGTCTAGTCTAGAGTGCCTAGTCTATAGTCTAAGTCTATATCCAGTCTATGTCTAGTCTATAGTCTAGTCTATAGTCTAGTCCTATAGTCTAGTCTAGTCTTCTATAGTCAGTCTATAGTCTAGTCTATAGTCTAGTCTATAGTCTAGGTCTATAGTCTTAGTCTATAGTCTGAGTCTATAGGTCTTCTTAGTCCTAGTATATAGTTTAGTCTATAGTCTAGTCATATAGTCTAGTCTATAGTCTATTTTCTAGTCTAGTCTAGTCTAGTCTAGTCTAGTCTAGTTCTAGTCTAGTCTAGTCTAGTCTAGTCTAGTCTATAGTCTATAGTCTAGTCTATAGTCTTGTCTATGTCTAGTCGTCAAATCAAATGCAATCTCAAAACATACAAATCAAGATCTTTCTTTTATCCGACAGATAGAGATTCATGTCTCTTGACAGCGTTTTCATAGCCTCAGATTCTATTATATTGTGATACCTATACTAGCTATGCGGGACAATTGAGAAGGTCTTCTTAAAATAGCTCCTTTAAAACAACAAATTCGCAAAATAATTACATATAAATAGAAATACATGCTCTCTTGTTCAACGACACTTCTAACTAACTGAACTAGTGGCAGTAGCAAATGCAAACACACATACCCTCACAGAGATATTGTTGCCACAGTCTCAAGTACATACTCTCCTGATACAATTCATTACACTGCTGCCTCAAGGATATAAATTAAAAGGATTTATTGTTTTGTCCGTGAAAGTGTATGTGTATATTTCCGTATATCTTTAAACAAATGTAAAATGACTGGAAAAAAACTCAAAAATTACATTTGAAATTATTTTGTCTTTAAGTAAACAAAATGAAAGATTAATATTTTAAATGTAAACCGTTTGAAATGAAAGAATTTAATTTAATCCTGTGGGTGTTTTTTTTTTCTATTTATATAAACTAAAAAGGAGTTTAAAATGTCTTTACGTCATCCCTGTCGGTACGTCAATCAAGACTATCATAAGTTAAAATAATTAAAATTCTTAATTATAACAGGATTTCAAAAACTATAAAAAATTCTTAATATCAAAAATTGAAATATCCATTTGTCTTTTTAAGACATAAATCACTGTAATATTTTCCGGTTTCATAATAAGAATTAATCTACCTGTAAATAAACTATTGCATAATTTTTTTTATATTCAAAGCCTTAAAACAAGCGGATGTGGTAAACGACACGTTTAAACCATTTGAAATCAATTTATTTAATTTAAATGTAAAAATTGTAACATTTGTTTAACGACATTGTCCTAGGAAGCAAATTGTAAATTCCTTGTGTTGCCTTAAGTTTGGTCATCTTACCTTTAGGGGCATTTTATGTTTTCGAAACAGCAATATGCTGCTGATGGTATCCTGTTGTAAACTGTCATAGAAATAATTGTCACCATAGTGATCGTTTTTTATTTATTTTAAAAGGGTTTTGAAGTTGAAGTCAGAGTATTAAATGAATTATATTTTAGATAGACAGATCGATAGACTATAGACTAGACTATAGACTAGACTATAGACTAGACCATAGACTAGACTATAGACTAGACTATAGACCAGACTATAGACTAGACTATAGACTAGACTATAGACTAGACTATAGACTAGACTATAGACTAGACTATAGACTAGACTATAGACTAGACTATAGACTAGACTATAGACAAGACTATAGACTAGACTATAGACTAGACTATAGACTAGACTATAGACTAGACTATAGACTAGACTATAGACTAGACTATAGACTAGACTATAGACTAGACTATAGACTAGACTATAGACTAGACTATAGACTAGACTATAGACTAGACTATAGACTAGACTATAGACTAGACTATAGACTAGACTATAGACTAGACTATAGACTAGACTATAGACTAGACTTAGCTAGACTATAGCTAGTTAGTTAGTTAGTTAGTTAGTTAGTAGTTAGTTAGTTAGTAGTTAGTTAGTTAGTTAGTTAGTTAGTTAGTTAGTTAGTTAGTTAGTTAGTTAGTTAGTTAGTTAGTTAGTTAGTTAGTTAGTTAGTTAGTTAGTTAGTTAGTTAGTTAGTTAGTTAGTTAGTTAGTTAGTTAGTTAGTTAGTAGTTAGTTAGTTAGTTAGTTAGTTAGTTAGTTAGTTAGTTAGTTAGTTAGTTAGTTAGTTAGTTAGTTAGTTAGTTAGTTAGTTAGTTAGTTAGTTAGTTAGTTAGTTAGTTAGTTAGTTAGTTAGTTAGTTAGTTAGTTAGTTAGTTAGTTAGTTAGTTAGTTAGTTAGTTAGTTAGTTAGTTAGTTAGTTAGTTAGTTAGTTAGTTAGTTAGTTAGTTAGTTAGTTAGTTAGTTAGTTAGTTAGTTAGTTAGTTAGTTAGTTAGTTAGTTAGTTAGTTAGTTAGTTAGTTAGTTAGTTAGTTAGTTAGTTAGTTTAGTTAGTTAGTTAGTTAGTTAGTTAGTTAGTTAGTTAGTTAGTTAGTTAGTTAGTTAGTTAGTTTGAAAGGAGGATGTTTATACATCAAATCCGAAGAAATACACCTAGGCCTCTATCGGGCCTGTTGTGCGCTCCTTAACCAGTGCCTCAGGTGGGAATCGAACCCACCACCTCCGGTCTACCAGACTAGAACACTAACCACTAACCTACCGGAGGCGACCGTATAGACTAGACTATAGACTAGACTATAGACTAGACTATAGACTGGCCTATATATATAATAGACTGTAGATTAGAATTCAGTATGTATAGATTTTGTTACCAAATATGTACTTTATATCTTATGCTTATAAAAAATATTTTTTATACCCTACACCACTTTAGTGGGGAGGGTATATTGGATTTGTGCTGATGTTTGTAACGCACAATAATATTAGTCCTATACCCACCTTAAAGTATACCAACCGGCTTAGAATCATTTTTTGAGTCGATTTACCATTTAAACCTGGTAATCAAACTACAGGTCGCAATTTTGAAGATAATTCAATGAAATTTGGCACATGATCTTCTATTGGCCCAGGGACGAAGCCTATTGAAAATGGTTAATATCGGTCCATTATTTCACCTAGCCCCCATACAACTGAGCCCCGAATAGGGCTTGTAAACCTTGTAATCAAACTACAGGTCGTAATTTTGAAGATAATTCAATGAAATTTGGCACATGATCTTCTATGGTACCGGAG